GTTCCTGAGTTTGAACTTTGAAACTTCAATCATGGTGCATCTTCTAGAATAGAATTAAGATCCATTTGTTAACTTCAATAAGTGAAGATTCTGAGTATTTATTTTCCTATATTGGTTTCTGGCCATTTGATAGGAAGGAGAGGTTCGATAGGGTGTGTAAGGATCTGAAAGTGACAAGGGTATTCTCTACTTTGGTGGAGGAAATGAAGAAGATAGGTTGTGCTCCATCTAAGGGCGAGTCGAAATTCTCCCACACGATACCGCCATCGTCTCGAAGAGATAGGAGGCCTGTGCTTCTTCTTATGGGTGGTGGCATGGGCGCTGGCAAGAGTACTGTCCTCAAAGACATTTGCAAAGAGTGCGTAATATTGATATAGAAGCTCGTTTAGAAATTTTATATCGAAGTTTGCTGATAAACAGTTGCTAATTATGCAGGCCCTTCTGGTTGGAAGCAGAAACAAATAGAGTGATGGTAGAGGCAGATGCCTTCAAAGAGACTGATGTTATCTACAAAGCCATCAGCTCAATGGGCTATCACGATGACATGCTTCAAACTGCCGAATTGGTGAGCGTCTTCCTACTCACACATTAAATTACATCTCGAATTGTTTCAATGAACAAACCAACTAACTACGACGAATCGTAACAGGTACACCAGCCATCAACCGATGCTGCATCATCGTTGCTGGTCACAGCGTTAAACGAGGGACTGGATGTGATCTTGGATGGCACTCTGTCTTGGGAGCCATACGTTATGCAGACAATTGAAATGGCTCGAAACATTCACAAACGTCGATATCGAATGGGAGTTGGGTACAAGGTAGAGAATGGAAAAGTGACAGAGAATTACTGGGAGGCTATGAGTGAAGAAGAAGAGAAGGAATTGAGGAAGGAGCATGGAGAAATGCAAAATAGAATGGCGTATAGAATAGAGTTGGTTGGAGTTGTTTGTGATGCTCATCTAGCTGTTGTTAGAGGAATAAGGTAAGGATCGAAGCCAAATTTTGGCGCTTTGGTATTGACTTCTTGAGCCATTTATGGTTCTAATGAAGGCTGTGATGATTTGTGCAGGAGAGCCATAATGATGGGAAGGGCTGTGAGGGTGAATTCTCAGTTGCAATCCCACAAGAGATTTGCTAATGCTTTTCCAAAATACTCTAAAGTTGTTGATAGTGTCAGGCTCTATTCCACCAATTCCACTGGCAACCCACCTAAGGTATTTTTAACTGTTTTAAACTTATTTGGTTGGATCTTGAACATCATGTATGGAATTTAGATGATGTGAATAGTTAGGATTAATTAATGGTATGGTATGGAATGGAATAAAACTGTGAGATCCCACGTCGGTTGGGGAGCTATATATGAATTCGAATTTGAATGTTTGGTGTATTCATTATTTTTAATGTTTCAAATTGTGCAGTTGATCTATAGAAAAGATAGCAACAAGTCGTTTGAGATGGTTGACCCAGAGGCACGTGCGTGGTTGACAACGTTGAGTAATTTAAACATCAATGCAGAATCAATTTATGAGCTTTATCCAAATTCGAGCCTATTTTCTGAACCTAGTTCCATTTTGAAAGAAATGACTCCAACCTCTTTAAGGCTCAGTTGTCAAAAAGAGCTTAGATATGTGATTAAAAAGCTAGAAAGTTCAAGAACAATCTCAAATGAATTTTTACGATGAAAAACTTGTAAATTTAATGAGTAGTTGAAGTGAAAAAAAAAAAAAAAACGTGATATTTGAGTATTGGTTGTTTTTGTACGTGTATTATGCCTTATTTTTGCATACATTCTTTCTTCGTTCAAGAACGTTCTATGTGAGAGATTATGTTGGTCATCCTAAAAGGATATGATATCTAACCTAAAATGAGTTGATATTAAATTTTTAATCAATGTATTAAAGAGGAACCATAATAATGTTAAATAATTAAAAAAAATAACTTAAAAATTAAATATTAAAAAGAAAATAATTATTAAGAAATAAAATTTAAGGATTGAGATAAAGTACGTGAAAATTTATAGAATAAAAATATTATAACAATAATAATAATAATAGTAATATTAAAAAAACTCATTTAAATATATATAAATATATTTGGGCTTTGTTGCTTGGATATATTCGGCCTGTTTTCTACCGTGGCTTACCTATGAGGCCCAATTTATAGTATTTGGGGCGAAAGTTGAATATTAAAAGTTGAAGGGCATTTAAGCAAATATAATTGCAATCCAGGGCTTTAGAGTTTATATATGATCTTAATCGGCAAATTTACTCCACTGAAAACCCTAGCAGCCACAATCCTCATTTGCACTCAGCCTCGGGCTTCTGATTTCTGAACTCCAACCATGGTAAGGCTCGTAGAATTTCTCGCATTCTGGTTTGACGTTTGTTTACTTCATCTAACCTAGATTTCGTGTTCGTAGGCGGACGATAATCCCGATGTCGCGGCGGCCGGAGGAGTGCCGAAGAAGAGGACGTTCAAGAAGTTCAGTTTCCGTGGAGTCGATTTGGATGCTCTCCTCGACATGTCCACCGACGAGCTTGTCAAGCTCTTCACTGCTAGGGCTCGCAGAAGGTAGTTCAAATGATAAATGTAATTGGAATGATTTATTTGCTGATTTTTACTCTTCCTCTCCGTTTTCTGTTTTAGGTTCCGGAGGGGTCTGACTAGAAAGCCAATGGCTTTGATCAAGAAGCTACGCAAAGCGGTAATTGCTTCCCTTCCTATTTATTTTCCATTTTGTAACTGGAAAAGTTAATTTCATTTGTTTAAATCTGCTACCTGTACGTGCATGTCTAATTCATTGGTAGTATGCTAGATAGAAAAATAGAAGTCCACCTTAATGTACCGTGCTATTATCGAATCCGCAGATTGTATGTTTTTTTTTATTGTGATACGGTGGTTTTGGGAAAGAAATTCGGTGGTTTTCCTGAAACTGCTTTTAACTTGAGGTAAACGAGATCACTTAGATGGATATCGTTCGGAGTACTACTACTTCCCCGGCTTTTGTGAAAATGTGGTGCTTTGTTTGATTTGGTTGCCTCCTTAAATATTGTTCTGCCACAGGATTTGCTTGGGAATTCCCACTGTTTGAGCAATCCTCTTCTTTTTCGTTAATTCAGTTTGGAATCTGTATGGAAACCGAAAGACACTCACCTACATAATTCTTGATGCTCCACGAATCTGAGAGTATGCAGAACCTCTTCCAATTATGACTAATTTGCATTTTCCCCATTGGCCTTAGAGTCTTGTGTTCAGATAAATTTACCTCTCATCTGTCTTCTATGATCGAATGTTACTGCTTACTAGTGACGTTTCATGGGTGAATAGTGGCTTGGAGAATGTGATATCGATCTCACATGTTCTTTCCCCTTTTATGTACAGAAACGTGAGGCGCCACCGGGTGAGAAGCCAGAACCTGTTAGAACTCACCTTCGTAATATGATCATAGTACCTGAAATGATTGGAAGCATCATTGGAGTTTACAATGGGAAGACCTTCAACCAGGTTGAAATCAAGCCTGAGATGATCGGCCATTACCTAGCTGAGTTTTCCATATCATACAAGCCTGTTAAGCACGGTAGACCTGGTATTGGTGCTACTCACTCATCCAGGTTCATTCCTCTGAAGTGAAGAGAGATTACCATTTGTTGGTCTGGGAGCATACTCTCCATTTCGTCAAGTTTTATGGATATTTATTTTTTGCTGTATTAGTCTATTTTTGGCTACTTTTTGACCGGAATTTAATTTCTATAAACAGTGAAAGATGATTTTGATGGTTCAGAGACATGTTCTAGTTGTTTTACTAAGAATGCCTAAGCTGTTCATGTGATGCCTGTGTGTGTGTTCTTTAAGGTTGTTTCGATTTGTTTTATTTTACTGGAGAATGTTTCTTATATTGGGATCAGATCAAATAGCTATTATTATTCAAATGCCTATCTTCATCTTTCTGCCAACGATGTCTTGCATTTGTGCATCAATGGCTCTCTCTTGCCCCTTCTCTTCATTATCATTGTCCAATGTACCCAAATTTCTTCAACTTTCTCACAATCCTCACCATTTTACACCAACTTGAAACTTCTTCGCCATCACTACTGGGATAATCCAACACGGTGCGGGGTGGTTTTGGGCGATTTTGTTTCACTTGTCTCCGATTAAGCCCCCATATGGAATTCAATTGGAAAATGGCGTGAATTAAACGGCTCTGAATTATTAGAGTCATTGCTGATTACATAAGCACACAAACTAGAAAGAAGGGTAAAAAAAAACTCATAGGAAGAAGCTTGAAATGTATCGAAGAAGCTTATGGCGTGGATTAAATGACTCGAATTATTAGAGCCATTGCTGTTTACAGAAGCATAGTTGTTAGCTAGACCACGAACCAGAAAGAAAGGTAAATAAAAACTCATAGGAGGACGCTTGAAATGTATCGAAGAAGCTTGTGGCGTGGATTAAACGACTTTGAATTATTAGAGCCATTGCTGATTACAGAAACACAGTTGTTTGCTAGACCACGAACAAGAGAGAAATGTATCGAAGAAGCTTGTGGCGTGGATTAAACGACTGAGCCATTGCTGATTACAGAAACACAGTTGTTTGCTAGACCACGAACAAGAGAGAAAGGTAAAAATTATAAGTTTAGTCTATAATTTTTTAAATTTAACTTTTTTAAAAAAAAAAATATTTGATTAATTACAAAATTGAATTTTCTTTTTAATAAAATTTTAATTTTTTTAAAATTTTGTGTATCATGTGTCTATGGATTCTAAATTAAAAATTTTAAAGTGTATTAAGAGAACTTTTTAAAATGAATAAATTTAGAAAATTAATTGGACTAATTCAAAAGACTAAATTTATAATTATAAAGCATAAAAAATAGGAATTACATTGACACGTCATAGATTAGATGGGAGAAACGACGAAAAGTAAGCACATCAGAGCAGCGTCCATTTCCAATATCCAAATTTTGTTCCTGTATAAATAGCAAAGCCATTAGCCTTCGCTTATCCATTGCAATGCACTTCACCAATCAGAACATGGCAACGGTTCGTTTTGCGCGCCCAATTTCACTTTTCTAGTTCCTCGCAATTCTTGCCGCCGCTCCTCTGCGTCCGCCTCCGCCTCTGCCGCCCTCAGTTTTCTGTAACAGGTATCTCCTCATTACCTTCGCGTCTCTATAATCCGAATTGGAGATCTGTAGCCGGTTTTGGCTCTCTGTAATTGAAGGATAATTGAGTTTATGTCCGTTTTGTACATCTGTTATTCGAGGCAGAGTCTGTGATTTCTCATTTGCAGTTTGATTCTTGATCCGATCCTCTGTTTGGATGTTGAGGTTATTGGAATGAATTGGAGACTGTGATCCATTGGCGATTGTGTTGCTTACTCGAATTAAAGTTCGTGTGGTCAATTAGTGAACAGAGAATCAGATTTAGGTGAGTAGCCATGAAATGATTGGACTCGATTTGGCATAATCTTGAAAAGTATAAATCGCCGAGGATATTCAGGTGGATCCATTGTTATTCGTCATTGTTCCATTTGGAATCCACAGAATCACCAAACACTCTGGTATCTTTGTTATAATTTTTTTTGTTAAGAGTTAAGAGGTTTTAATCGATGTGCGATCTTCCAATTTATAGCATACATGGCGATCTCAAGTTTTTAATACTGCTGTTTGGAATCCTTCTAGGTCCTCTACTAATACACTCCACCTGTTCTCGGCTAGATTTATTGTTTAATATTCGCTAGATGCAAGAACCTTTTAGTTTTCTAGTTCATGACATTGTTGACCTTTTATTTTATCTTCATTTCATAACGCTGATGTTAGAGACCAACTTGAACACATAATTCATTCTTTGATGCATTTTATCTTTTCTCCTCCAAGTGATGGCTGGAGATATGGCTGAAAATCTCATATTCTGAAGCATTTTTCTCCAAGTGGATGAATTCAAATAGTAGATTGGTGGCTCAGATGTTTGACATTTCCTTTTTCGTTTGGTTCCTGATTAATTTCCTGAGTGCCTACAAATTTCCAGTTTCTTACAAGAAGTAGATTGATAAATGTTTTTGATAATTGTATTGTTTTTCATGAATTATATCAGATTTGGGAAATGTTTTGTGAAGTGGAACTAGTGAGAGATGTGAAAGTGGTGGCTGAAAAGGCAGATAGAGATGGTCTCAACTTCCAGAGGTACATTATGGCACGTCTATTAGAGAACTTATTGAAGGAGAGGGCCAGCAAAGACCATGGCTATTTTATTGCTGTTACTAGCTTGAAGAGCATAGGCAAGGGACAGTGCAAGAATAAATCTCAGTATGTTACATTCCCCATTACCTTTGGCTGCCGAACCTTTGTGCCTTCAGGGGGAGAAATCTTGCTTGGAGTTGTTCGTCACGTATTTCGTCGCGGATTGCTCCTAAAATGTGGACCGATCAACTACGTGTTTCTTTCATCTCGTAAAATGCCAACCTACCATTATGTTGGTGGTAAGAATCCTGTGTTCTCAAGCAACGAATTCGCCACGATTCGAACCGAGAGCGCTGTACGGTTCAATGTGCTTGGTGTGAGATGGATAGAAAAAAGAGGATGCATCAAAAAGGAGTTTGTGATGCTTGCTAGCTTAGAAGGTAGCAACACACTTGGACCCATTTCATTGTCGGAAGCCGATGAGTTAGGCTTGCAAACTTAGAACAACACACAAATTTGGTAATGCTGATTTCTTCCCTTCTGCATCTTTCTGTTTGTTCTTACTTTTTTGGCAAATGATAATTCATTTGAGTGTCTTGATTTAAGGACGTCCGAGGGCAGGATGCATTGAATCTTATTAGTTGGAGATGCTAGACAGTACTGTTCAATCCAAATATATCCCATATCAACTAATCAAGCTTTTGGTATTGAAGATCCAAACAGATGATGCCATATTTCCATATTTCCAATCACTGCTTTGGATGTCTATGTCTTACTATCTAACCCAGTTCCAGTTGTTGCTGTTGTTTTCGTCGAACTCGAATCAGATTCGTTGTAATTCGTTGTAATCGACCTATGAAATAAGAACTTATTGTTCATCTCTACCTTTTAGAAATTGATGTATTGTAAAAAAATTAAATCTTTTTACAGCTTATTTGACAATTAAAATAGTTGTTTCTATTTATTTCAATTTTAAAGATACATAATTTAAATAATTAATTTGGTGGAAAAATAAATTACTTTTTTTTTTTTTTTGTTTTAACTTTCACCGAATAAAAATTGTCACTAGAGTGGACCGATCATTTTGATTGGAGCTTGGGATCTTCCACTCTCGGCAGTCATTACCAGCCTTGCTCCGGCCAAAATTTCCAGGCTTTTATCCCAATGTCGACCGCTGAATTCGCCGTCACTTTCAAGGAAGCCGGTCGATCCGTCATCGCCACCCGCCGTCCATGGCGGGAATTCCTCGACCCATTGTCTCTCAGCCTTCCTTCTTCCCTCTCCGACGCGACCTCTCGGATTTCTCAGAACTTGACCCGTTTCCTTTCCAATTACTGTCTTGTCGTCTTGCTTCTCATATTTCTTGGCCTCATCTACCATCCCTTTTCCATGATTGTGTTCTTCCTTGTCTTTGTTGCCTGGTTCGTCCTTTACTTCTCCCGCGACGACCCAATTAGGGTTTTTGGTTTTGAGTTGGGAGATTTTGTTTTGGTCATCATTCTTGGGTTGGCTACCGGATTGGCGCTGGCTTTGACAGGGGTTTTCGTGAATGTGCTGATTTCGCTTGCCATTGGGGCCATGGTGGTTTGTTTGCATGCGGCTTTGAAGGGCACGGAGGATGCTCTTGAGGATTTGCAAGACCCTTTTGGGGATACGCTGTTGGAGAGCCCGAGAGGTGATTACAGCGGCATCTGATTGAATATGTGAGTTTGTTGAATTACTGTTCTTCTTTTCAATTGATTTAGCTAAAGAAATTTGACTGTTTGCTGGTTTATATACGGATATTTGTTAGATGAAATGTACATTGCAGAACACAATGAATTGCAGAAAGTATTCATTTCCATTATGCTCTGAATTTTGCTCATTATTGTTCCTTTTACTTTTAGCTTGTGTTTCTGAGTTTGATCTGTTGATTACTGGGATGTTGTCGTTGTTGTATGTTTTCCTTTGAATTTGCATAAACTAAATTAATCACTGAATTTGATTCTTGTTGAATATATCATTCTTTGAGTATCATTATAGGATGACAACTTTATGGACCATTAGATAGAGCCTTCACAAAATTCTCTTGGCTTAGCTGCCCACAGATATCTGTATTCGTTCTGTGGCTGTTTGTTGCCACAGTTCTACGATGTTGTGCAGATGCGTCACTGGCTGACCGACCCTTTGAGGTATACTGCCATGTCTGTAGTTCGTAATTTAGTAGAAATATGCAAGAAAAGGGCAGGTAGGATGTTAGGAATCAAAGACCTCCTTGGTATGATATTGTCTATTTTGAGTATAAGCTCTCATGACTTTGCTTTGGGGTTCCCCAAAATGCCTCGTACCAATGGAGATGTATTCCTAAATTAGCCAACGTGGGACTTCCTTCCAACAATCGACACTAGACGGGTGGGGGGAAGTTGCTTATTATCAAATGGTCTACTATTACTTTAGGAAATAGAACTAACCTGACCCTCAAGTTGTGTAGTTTGAGGAGATCTGAGGCAAAGGCTTAGTTCCATCACTGGTAAAGCTAATTACAAGTTAGGATGATGTTTGGTCATTCGATGGAGTAGAATTATGAACAGAACCATTCTTTTTCTTGTTCTAAAGTTATTTGTGAGATTCCACGTTGGGTGGAGAGGGGAACGAAACATTTCTTATAAGGGTGTGGAAACCTCTCCCTCATAGACGCATTTTAAAACTATGAGGCCGTTGGCGATACGTAACGGACCAAAATGGACAGTATTTGTTAGCGGTGGGATTAGGCTATTACAAATGGTATTAGAGCCAGACACGAGGCGGTGTGCCAACGAGGACGTTGGGCCCTTAAGGGAGTGGATTTTGAAATCTCACATCGGTTGGAGAGGAGAATGAAGCATTTCTTATAAGGGTGTGGAAACCTCTCCCTAGTGGATGTGTTTTGAAACCGTGAGGCTGATGGTAATACGTAACAGGCCAAAGCGGACAATATCTGCTAGCGGTGGGCAAACTATATTGGACTTAGTAATGGGTTGCTTCGTGTGTCAGTGTCAACTTCACCTCTAGCCCGATCATAGGATCCAAACATCCTATAAGTTTCCATGTTTAACAGAAGCTGAAGTTGCAGGAATTAGTCAACTTTCAACTCTTTCCATCATTGGCTTGTAACCATGTTCTTAGAACATTACAATTGATATCTTCAATCTGGATTGCCTCTGCCTTGGCAACATTCACTTGTATATTACAGTCATTAAACTTGTTACAGTTGCTTCTTTTCATTTCTTGGGCATTGTTCCGGTTATTTTGAACCAAGACGAGTTTTCCGTGAGCAATCACGGTGGAAAGACATTGTTGTGGGATGAGGTTGTCTTGTGCTGTCGATTTCGACACCATTTGCGTTACAGGATGAGAAGGTGAAGCTGTACTCTCGTTATGATTGCTAAAGAGAGCAATCTGTGTGTGTGTTTCAGGAGCCTTTTCCTTCCTTCCTTTTGCAAGGGAATAATACCTTTTCCCATAGATCTTCCCTTGTCTGCTCTTGTTGAAGCTTGCTTGGAGACGGGAACGAAACATTCTTATGTGGAAACCTCTTCCGAATAGACGTGTTTTTAAAACCTTGGAGGGAAGTTCGGAAGGAAAGGCCCAAAGAGAATAATATTTGCTAGCGGTGGGCTTGGGTCGTTATAAATGGTTTCAGGGTTAGATACCAAACGATGTGCCAACAAAGAGGCTGAGCCTCAAAGGGGTGGACACTAGGCGGTGTGTCAGCGAGAAGGCTGATCTTCGAAAGGGGTGGAGGGTCCCACATCAATTGGAGAGGGGAACGAGTTCGAGCAAGGATACTGGGCCTCGAAGAGAAGTGAACTGTGAGATCCCACATCGTTTGGAAAGAGGAACGAAACATTCTTTATAAGAGTCCGAAGGAGAGTGGATTGTGAGAATCCTACATTGGTTGGAGAGGGACGAAAGATCCTTTATAAAAGTGTGGAAACCTTTCTTTAGTAGAAGCGTTTTTTTTATAAAAGTGTGGAAACTTTTCTTTAGTAGAAGCGTTTTTAAAACCTTGAGGGGAAGTATCAGAGTGGAACGAAATATTCTTTACAAGAGTGTGTAAATCTCTCTCTAGTAGAGCGTTTCTAAAATCTTAAGAAAAAGCTCGAAAGGAAAAACCTGTGAATATCTGCCTTACCATTAAATTTTATAAAAAAAAAAAGATTGGAAAAATATTTTGACATTTCTCACATAGATTCCAAGTATGTATCTACAGTGATACCAACATTTCATATTCTTTCTGCATCACATTAAATTATTAAAATATTTCCTACATTGTTTAATAATTATTTATCTATTTATTATTTATATATATATATGGAGGGCGTCAGATCCAAGAAAAATCAGAGAAATGGAAGGGAAGCATTGCAGCATGGACTTGTTCTTATTATTTATTATTAAATATAATATTGTAATTATTATTATTATCATAACATATTGGCAAACAATACCAGAACCATCCATCCCTATTAATTTCGTAAATATGGGTTAACATTCAAAGTTTTAAAATCATGTCATACATCTCATCCCTCCATTTAAATTATTACTTTTTAAATATTTAATCATTTTTAGAAACATTTAATCTATTTCTTATCGTGAATTGAATTCGAGTCCAAATGATGAAACAATATGGTTGAAAGTCCCATAAATCTAGCTCGACCTAGTTTGAGCCGAGCAAATCTAATCTAAACTAGCTTAGTCGATTCAAGCCTGGTGGGCATGTACAGTATCATAATTGCACTCTTGCAACGTGGCATTGATTATGTGACCGTCGTTCTAATATGGTGAACAAATAAGTCATTTTTAATAGAAAATGTGTTTATAAAACGTGAGTGAGGAAATGCGTTGAAAACAATTTAAATGTTATAATAAAATATGAACCCAACCACTAATCAATTGCATGTACACGACCCAGCAATTACAAAAAACAAGATAAAGAAGATTTAAGTATCAAATCAATAAAAGAATGGAGTGACAATAAATACCAATGACCCCGAGCTTTGTAAAATCCAGCATTGTTAGCACTTATCATTCTAGCTCTAGTAGATGTAGACATGATTTTGATAAATAGTCATACATCACGTATTGACATGACAAGAATAGTAAAGACCTAACTACCTGGGGACTAAGCATATAGTTTTTTTTTTTTTAAAAAAAAAAATTACTTTATTTCTTTCATTTTATTTAATCTCCATCGTATAATATCCAAGTAATAGTAATGAGAAAAATAATCACAAATTTTTATGTTATACTATATATTAATTAAGCCCACATAATTCCTTATCAATTAAGATATTAATTAGTAACGAATTTTCAAATAATATTTGGTGTAGTGAATTTACCCTTCTACCCCTGTTGATAATAAAACACATTAATATATTAAACATCTTTATAAGCATCCACATGGTCATGTCCCCCAAAGAAAGAAAATAATAATAATAATAATTCCCTAATGGCTTCCACACCCAAAATCATTACAAAATGCAATAATTAATACAATAAATTAAAATTAAAAAAAAAAAAGTAAATTAAGAAGAGAGAAAGACATAAATAAAAGCAAAACCCATTATAATTGTTTTTTTTTTTTTGTAATTAAACAAACAAACAGACAGACAGCCAGACAGACAGGATAGGAGAGAGATAGAGAGAGATATAGAGAGAGAGAGAGTTTATTTTGTTGTTTCCTATTACAAATTAATTAATTAGTCTCCCAAATCTCTTTTAATATCTATTTACCAATCACAACATTCAAAATTTAAATTTTAATTTAAAAAAAAAAAAACATAAATATTGCAATCAACTCCTCTTTCAGCTTCTGCTTTTGCATTTTTCCATCGCTCTTGGGGCTGCATAAAGTAATTCCCACTTACTTTAGGGGCTTAAATGCAAACTTTCTTTCTTATGTACTATAAACTTTTTATACATACCGAGCCCGATAGCTTCCGATCCCTTCATTATCCTTAAGCGCTTGCATGAATCAACGAACATCCTATAAGTACAAAACATAATTAGATTAACGGATGTAATGGTTGATTGGCCGCAGAGATAAGCAACTTACTCCCATGGGACATCTCCCACGAGCATCCAATCACCATCCTTATCTTCATAGGTTGGCACGTATTCAGAGCTGTTTAGAAGATCCATCAACTTGCTTTCGTTCATGAAATCTATCATTCCTTGGGCCCCATACTCGCCTTTACATTAAAACCCGTAAAATTTAATTAATTAATTCGATGTAATTTGCCACTTTGTGTTCTAGATCTAACCCAATTTATTCTACAAATTTGTATTTAAAACGATTGTTAACTAACCCGCCATGGTGAAGGAGCTGAACATCTTAGCCAAGGCGTTCGAGAGCTCTTGGTAGCTTTTGTACGTCTTTAGGTCCACCTTTCGTAGATACGGTGCACCATCCATACAAACTTTGACGAACATAGCCGAGCCGCTACCCTTTTCTCCAGCATCGGGATTCTTTTGAGACATCGCGTTCTTTCGGTAGGAACGGACTGGTGGCCACCCCACAACTTGTGCCCTAAATAATTACAAAAAAATATCGTAACCCATCAACTTAAACAAGGTTTCGAGTAAAGGGACGGGAAGGGAAGCTAATTACTTGGCAGGTGGCTTTGCAGGATCCTTGGAGCTAAGATCCTCTGAATCAGTACTCTTCATGTTCTGTGTGGTACTCAGATCGACGGTTACCACAGGCTTAGATTGGATATTGAGTTTCAGATCAACCGTCTCAGAGAATCCTCTTTTTCCATTACCTTTTGGAGTCTCCGGCTCTCCACCTCCGCCGCCGCCTCCGCCGCCCGGAAGCCCGAGACAGAGATCAGTTTCAAGCATGTTGACCATTTTCCGGCAAACCTCAATGAAAAATTGCTCAGAGCGCTGTGTGTTGTGATATAATTTTGCAATTTTGAGTGGGAGAGAAATAATATATGGAGCAGAATAATATTAAGGTGCGTTGCATGTGCATGTCTTATCAAGGTCCTCTCTAATGGGATTTCGCCACGTGGAGAAACATAGGACGTTGATTTTGGAGTGATTTTTATTTGACCAACTTGTGGTTGGATTTGAAGGGAGGGAGGCAGCTGTAACATGGTTTCAATTAGTCAACCATTAATCACATACAGACACTCCACCAAACCTCTTACTCTACACCCTCACCCCTCTTTTCATATTACCTTAATCATATATTATCGCCCATATTTTAGAAACGCGTTGGTTGCCCTCGACACGAGCTCGAACCTAAGACATAAAACATTAGACGAAGAAGATTGATTAAATAAGAACAGTGGAGCGTTATTTTGTTGGTGTTAGAGTCGAGAGGATATGGTGGTAAGTTAGAGACAGGTCACATCGAGGAAGAGAGAGAAAAGGAAACATATGCAAAGCCAGTAGGTAACATTGCTCTCTCAACGTCGCTCTCCCAAATTTAAACTCAAACCCATGGCTGCTCATTCGTATCTATCACCATGTTTCTGTCATTCTCTCTCTAATAAATCTGATGTGAATGCCTTCCTAATCACACGCACGTCTTCCTTCAACAGTACCCTAAACGACTATATACCTCGACCCAAAGATACGCTTTTCTTTTTTAATGTTTTATGTGTGAGTCAAAATCATGTAACGTCACAAACAAACCAATTTTTCGTGCATTTCAGAATGCAAAATCCATCAAACTTAAACTTTTGAATCTAGTGGAAAATTATTTACACGTGTTTGAGTTTATAACTTATAGTTATTATTTCAGCTCATGGTTCAAGGGTAATGTTAAGAATGTATATATATCATCGTTAACTTAACAAATTTGACCATAACTCAACTAGATAAGACGTATATTATCGAGCACCCAAAGATGGGTCGAAATAAAGTGGAGTCGGGAGTAATAAATGAAAAGGGTAGGGAGGAAAAAATAATTAGAAAGAATCTAGACGCACAATAACAAAATATTCGAAATGTTGGTAGAAATTGAGACAATGGTACCGTGGGTGGGGCTGACCAGGACACCCTTTGCTTTCACTGTTTTACTCAATATTCACAACATCATTTTCATTATCATAATCAAACACTCTTCTAACTATTTCCTTCGATTTACTCATATGCCCCTCTTCTCTCTCTAATTTATTATTCTATTTTTCTTCGCAATTAAAACCCTAACCCTAACCCTACCTCGAGAGGATGCTTGCTATATATATATATATTCTCGACTAGAATGTTAAATTTGAATGATAAAAAATAATTAAATGGATAGAAAAAAAAAAAGAAAAAGGAATAATATTGAAATTATTTTATTTATGAAAGGTTAAGATGGTCATTTTCATAAAATAAATATGTGGAAATTGGAAGTGAGTGGTCGTGGTGAAATCTGATTGGTTGTTATGGCGGCGGCAACATCAAATTCATCGAATCTTTGAACATAATTGACGTCTGAGTTGTGTGTTTCTCTTCCTCTTCATTCCCCTTTTGATAATGACAACTGGCAGATCTGTTTTTACCTGAACCGACATCGTTTTGGGCTCTAACTTGTCTCGGCCCAATTTTGCTCAGGCCCAGCCCAATTATGTTAAGGGTTGGTACGGCTGTTCCATGAATTCCAAGCCTTGAGAAAATTTGGATCCACAATCAATTAACCTAAACTATGCAAGAATTAGGTGCTAAACTTGTTTAATTTAGGTTAATTAGAATTGTTTAGTTGAAATTGTTTATGAATTTATTTATTTATTTTTTGGAATTAAAACTAATTTATTTTTTGGAAACAAAACTATGTAAATATTTTTTTTTAAAAAAAATAAGTGATTTATTTTAAATATAATATAAGTGGCCGATATTGAACTTCTAAGTTTAGAGTAAGAATTACTGAATAATTACTTTTAAATTATACTCATGTTGATGATCCATATCTCAGGGTCAACCCCTCTGATGATCACATTGAACTATACATGTGGATGAGAGCCCTCACAACCCAGGTACAACGATGCAATTATCAGGGGCGAGCTCTACCACTGAGCTAATAGCCCGTCGTGCGAGCCTCCCACTATGCCAAAAGCAAGAGAAACTTCATCTCTCTCTTTCCTTTTTTCACCTCCATGTTGCCACACGGGAAGGACATGGGAGCAAGAAATTAGGTTAGAGAAATTTTTTGGACCAAGTGAAGATAATTGTTGATGCTCAAAATAGGTTCACAAGCCCACGGGATAATCTTCTATTTTTGGATTGGGTTAGATTGTCAGATTTATTTTAAAATTATTTAAAAATATCATATTTATCTATAATACATGTCGCATTAATAGTTAAAATATCATAATAATCCTAAAAGGAAGGTAGAGTGGAGTGAAGTTAATGTAACAGCTCAAGTTCATTGCTAATAGATATTGTTCGCTTTGTCACGTCTCACGGTTTTAAAATTCACATGACAAGGAGATTTTTCAAACTTTTATAAGAAATACTTTATTCTCTTCTCCAACCAACGTGGAATCTTAGAGTTGGGTTGAGTCAAATGTGAACCCCACACCAACTTAAATTTTCGATTCTAAAAAAATTTAGCGGAACCCAAACAAAAAGAAAATATAATCATTACCCAACTTCTATAGCTCGGGTTGATCAAGTTATCCACACCAATCCATCTTGAATTTGGTGGTTGAACTCTAACGAACATTGCCGACTTACATTTGGTAGAATTCAAACACATAAAAAAACATGTTGAACACAAAGAATTGAAATTAAACAGAATTGGAAACAGTTGATGAACTAAAATCATGAAATAAACGCGTGAAAAGAGGAAGGTACAAAGAAAAAGCATAGGAAAATGGGAGTGTCGGAAAATGAAAGGAAATGTGGAGGAAGGTGGGCTGGGCTGGGCTGGGCCTAGAGCCCAACAAGCGGCCTTAAAACCCGCAAAAAAGAAACGCCCAATTATTGTGTTTCATGAATATTTTTAGGGATTGGTTTTCTTATGGGGACACGTGTCCCACAGTTTGTTATTATAATAAATGCAGGGATTTTGATATCATGCGGTGGGGTCCTATCGTACCTCCCGTGTGGTTTCCTGATTCTCAATGGGACCTTCCACCTCAGACCGCCACACATGCAACCCTGCCATGGCCCCACACGTTATCTCTCCTTCCGCACGCGCTTTCACCCATTTGCCACGTGGTCTTTCAAACTAATAATATAATTTTAAGAAATATAATTAAAAATCTATATAGTATTTAATCATCAATACTTAGGTTAGTATTGGATATCAATATCATGATGTAAATTGGAATGAAATGATTAATTAGGTACACCCAAACGTGACACTATTTTTTTTTTTTAAATTTATTAATAGTGTTTGTTTTTTTCTTTTTAATTTTATTCTTTAATAAATAAAAAACATGTTAATTGACAAGTAATTAGTTCATGAACATGATCAAATTTAACGTTTGCACAGTGTGGACATTATTATTAGGTGGTTGTCGACAACGACCCTTCACTATATGACCTAGTTCGTTTTGTGCTTCTACTTAATATAATTCTTTTACATACTTTGTAGGGTATGAATGTTGTTCACGCCCTCCACGTCCTCCACGTCCTCCACGTCCACGTTTGTGAGCATGTGATGATGAGGGACCAGTTTCATAAATGTAATATGGTGATGTATGAAGATATCATGAACCAAGTGTAGTATCCAGGGTGTACTCGGGTTGGATTGAGTTGGGAAAATCTTCGAGTTGGTTGGGTTGGTGACCTGAACAAGAGTTCACAACCCAACCCAACTCTCTCTTTTTTGAATTAGGTTAAGTGGTCGGGTTGGGTTGGGTTGTCAGGTCTATTTATCCATAATATACGTATAAAAGAATAAAATGTAATATCATTGTATAATATAATCCCTCTTTTGATTTGAACAAACTTGTTCACAATCATTAATGAAAAGATTTAAACTATTTTCTCCAACTTGATGTTGCCAATGAACATTCAATATAATGATTGTGGATGAATTTAAAGACAACACATAACGTTCTTGTACATGAACGCTTATTATTAACATTTACTTTAAATATATATATAGAATAGTTGAAGGGACCATATAACCATAGAAAAGTTGGGGCTTTGTCATGAATAGAAGGATGTGTTTGGTGCAATGTCATTCTTGTTTTGAGTTGCTAAGTTGGTGATACCCACAAGAGTGATTTTAGAATATGTTCCAGGGTTCATATGACTCAATAACTCAACTAACCTTGACTATTTATAGGTTGGGTTAGATCTTTTTTGGATTTGGATTGTGTTGAATTTTTTAAGAACTAAAAGTTTCAGATTTACTCAAGTCAAGCTGACCGGCTCCAAAATGGGATAATAACCCAACTCAACCCAACCCTATCCTATTTTTAACATTATTATAAAATTAAAAATATTTACATTTGTAACAGATGTTAGTAATGGGTTGTAACTTGTAATCATTTGATATTTGAGCTTTACGAGATTTTAGTCATTAACATAACATGTGTTATAAATAAGTATGAATAAAAATAAAGAGTTGGGTTGAGTTGTGAACTCGATTCGAGTGGTTCGAATCACCAATCGTTGGATTTTTCCAACCCAACTCGTGTACACTCGTAATAAAATTTTGAACTGGATGTCGATCACGACACATACTACCTATAGAGAAGTCTTCGTGTTCGTTTTTGGTTTAGGGTTTAGGGTGGATTGATAAGATGAGCAAACACAAGAGACATTTGTTGGATGATGAAAGTCATACATCGGCTCATTTAGGGAATGATCATGGGTTTATAATCAAAGAATACTATCTTCATTGGAATGAGGCTTTTTAGGAAGCCCAAAGCAAAGCCATAAGAGCTTATGCTCAAAGTGGACAATATCATGTTATGAATGTCGGTACATATTTAATCATGTTCTGCTTTAAGCTTGGTTTGTAGAGAAGCAGACAGAGGGACAGAAGCAGGAGAGATGGTAGAGGAGAACACCGAGTTTGTGAGCTGGCTTTGATTTTGGTTGTTCACAATATAAAATCCTTGCCTTCCTGTTTCCCTATTGTTCTGTAAATCTACACAAAAACCAAACACTTTGACACATCCCATAATGCCTCCACGACACGCACTAGCTGTGCTCCTAACATTCAAGTCCCACCAAGATGGAACTGCTTCATGTTCTTGTTCTTGTTGTTGTTAAACTAATGCTTATTCCAACAACACATGCTTGCGCATCTTTCCATGTGTGTGTTGTCTCTTGAATCAACGTTTATATCCTTATCCCTTTGCATTTCTTTCCCCCCTTTTTCTTGGCTTCTTCCTTTCTACCTCTTTGGTGGAGTAATTCTTGATTTTGATGCTCGGAAAGGATTTAGGGTTTAGGGTTTAGGGTTTCAAAACTTTTGTTGTTTGAATCTGTTCGAGTTTTTGTTTGTGTGGGGGTAATTGGTGAAGTTTAAAAGAAACTAAGTTCAATAGGTCAAAACTTTTTGGGTACAAATTTGATCAAACCTAAGGTTGTGTAACGTAACGTGTATTTGATTTGCACCCTTACGATTGAAGAAATAATTCACACGTGAATTCTAATGGATCTTTTCATAAGACTCGTATGATTCAATTCAACATTGTATCGTAGCTCTAAATTCTGATTAGGTTTATGGATGAACTTCATTGCAGATATTGACCCTACAAAAGAAATAATAGGTATGACTAAACCATGAATAGCTAACAATCAAACACTAATAATAGGATAAGTTTTTATCCGTAGAAATTTGGTCCTTTTAAAAAGATCTACTAAATTCATCTTGTTCTAAACCATGAAACAGTCTTTCTGTAACAGCCCAAATTGGGAAAAAGTGGCTGCTAGAGAGAAGTTTCTACGCACTCATAAAAAATGTTTCGTTTCCTCTCCAGCCAATGTGGTATCTCACAATCTCCCCCTTTAGGGATCTAGCATCGTCTGTGAGGGAGAGGTTTCCACACCCTCATAAGAATGTTTCGTTTCCCTTTCCAATCGATGTAGGATCTCACAATCTATTCCCTTGGGGGGTCTGACATCGTCTACTAGGGAGAGGTTTCCACACCCTCATAAATAATGTTTTGTTCCCCTCTCCAACTATGTGAGATCTCACAATCCACCCCTTGGGATCCTCGCTAGCACCCCTAGCACACCGCCCAATATCTAGCTCTAATACCAACCAACCGACGTGGGATCTCACACTTTTCATAATCAATCATTTCGTAAGATTAAAAGTCCATAATGGTTTCCACTATTAGTCTCAACCATGTTAGAATCAAATTAAAAACACATTATTATTATTCCAAACACAATAATTCCCATCAAAACATAAAATATCTCCACACAAAAAAGAATAATTTGAAAGTTTCCTCAAAACATTATAAACCATTCATTTGAAGATTCATAAACAAAAACAGATATCATATGGAAATACATAAATTTGAATGAATCAACCTAACTAGCAAACCCTAATTAAATGACAACCCAAATCTTCATAAATATTCCCATCTCTCTCCCTCAAATTTAATGGTGATGCCTGCTCTTCCTTCTTGCTTTGCCACAAAAAAGTTCCTTCTTTTATATATATATATATATATATTCTTCGAAGCTTTCAAAGAATTAATGGCGGATTTGGTTAGAGCCAACAATGGTGGAACACCTTACAGAATTGTAAATAACTTTGTTTCATTTATTAATGGCAACGACCTTCCCCAACTCCATTCTAATAAACCACTGTCGTTTCATTCCCTTTGTTTTTTTAACAAATAATAATAATTATTATTACTTCTAAATATTTTTAGGGTCGACATGTCGGGCCACAGAAAAAACAAGATTAGATAGACGACTTATACTTGTTCATCAAGCAAAACCACTTATGTTTAATTTTGTATTAAATGAATAAATGGGAATAAAGTTACCCTTCTCAATGCATTTTAAACCCTTTTAAGAAAAATTAAAGGTAACTTTAGTTTATAATAATGGTGTAAAAATTAGGGTACTTTTCCAATAAAACCCACATCTTAAGCGTTGTAATTAATTAGTATTGGTAATTTATTGAGGAATCTGAGCCGTCCATTTCTTAGATCTTCTGCATTTCCTTGATCGTGGGCAGGCTCGGTGCTGTCCCACTCTTGTCCCCTCTCTTCACAGACACATTGCCTCAAAGTTGCCGCCATTGCTACCGACAGCTTCCCTTGCCTTTGTCCTTAATTCAAACCCACAAATAAATGAGTTATTAAATTATTAAATTAAAAATTAAAAATCAACCCTTTTTCTTTTAGGCTTTGTGTATAAAAATACAACCACTTCCTTCCTCATTCCACCAACCGTTTCCTTCAAACAAAAGAGAGAGAAAAAGAAGAAAAAAATTCAAACTTTGACCCAGGATTTGCTCTGCTATGGCGTTTGAAGCTGGCCTCAACCTCGACGCGACGGAGCTCCGCCTTGGACCGCCGGGAGTCGACGGCAATAAGCAAGAACCTCAATCTCTCAGAATCATTAACAATAAACGACCCTTATTGCCGGAATCCAACCAAAGCTCCTCCGCTTCAAATATCTCCGTTTCCGATGACAATCTCGAAACCCCACCTCCTTCCAAGTGAGTTTAGATTCAAACCTTGTAAAAATCGAAACTTTTTGATTGATGATTAAATTTTTTTTTGTGGGTTTGTTGTTGTTTAGAGCTCAGATTGTGGGGTGGCCGCCGGTTCAATCGTTTAGAAGAAACAGCCTTCAAGGGAAGAAAACGGCGGCGGCGGCGACGGCGGCGGGAGAGAGTACTGCCAATTACGTGAAAGTGAGCATGGATGGAGCTCCTTACTTGAGAAAAATTGATCTTAGTTTATACAAAGGGTACACCGAACTTCTTCAAGCTCTAGAAGATATGTTCAAGTTCACCGTAGGTACGTGTTATTAGAAATTACGAATCTCTACAATCATATAATACTGTCTACTTTAAGCATAAGCTCTCCCTACCTTACATGACATGAAAAGTATTGTTTTTGAGTGAAATTAATGATAAAGTTTTGATTTTTTTAGGTGAATACTCGGAGAGAGAAGGGTACAAAGGATCGGAATACGTTCCAACATACGAGGATAAAGATGGCGATTGGATGCTTGTCGGAGATGTTCCATGGGAGATGTTTATGTCGTCGTGCAAGAGGCTGAGAATCATGAAAGGATCGGAAGCGAAGGGATTAGGGTGTGTTGCATGAAACAATGAAAAAGAAGAAGCTTTATTATTTAGAGGGAGAAGAAGAGAAGGAGACATGGGCTTGGGTTGTCGAGGAAGAAGAAGAAGAAGATGATGATGAACTTCAAAGATGGAATTTTTATTTGTATTTTTGTGGAAAAAGAAAGGATTTTTGAGGGAACAAATTTGATGCATTTTGATCATCTTTGTGGAACTTAATCGCGAGTGTCCATTGGATTTTATCCATTATCCATTATCTGCATACACCACAAATGTTTTTTTTTTTTTTTTTTTTA